ATTGATTGATTATCGTTTTATTTTATTATTATTATTACTATTACTATTATTATTATTATTATTATTATTATTATTATTATTATTATTATGTATATAATTGTTATCGATTATTTGTTTAAAAAAAAAAAAAAAATTAGTTTTTATTAAAATATATATATATATATATATATTGTTTTACCTTATTTAAAAAAAAAAAAAAATGTTTTCATGATCGAAAAATTTAGTCATTTAAGTAATTATAATAATAATAATAATAATAACTTACTTACTTACTTATTATTATTTTATTTTTTTTTTAAATAAGAAAAATTAATAAATAAAATTGGGTTTCTTTTTTTTTCTTTTTTTTATAAATAACATTTATATAATATATTTATATTTATATATATAATTCAGGTACGTAGGTATAATTATAAAAAAATAAAATAATTTTGATAAAAATATTATTGATTGATTAATTAACGAGCATCATAATCGTTTATATATAAACTGCTACTACTTCTGCTACTATTACTATTATCATTATTATTCTTATGTACACTTTTATAATACATAAAATTTTATGTATTCAATTTTTTTTAATATTATCATTATTATATTTTTTAATAAGAGCATAATTAATAATAATAATAATTATTATTTTTATCATTATAAACTTTTCTACTTTAACTTCTTTTGTTTTTTATTAAATTACTATTATTAATAATAATAATAGTAATAATGATGATGATGATAATAAAATTAATATGAAAATTATATATATATTTATATAAATAAAACGAAGCGTCATTACTGTATTTAATAATGTAAACTTTACTACAAAAAAAAACAATTTTTTTGTAATAATTAATTATTATAAATAATAATAATAATAATAATAATAATAATAATAATAATAATACTATGTAAAAAAAATAATAATAATAATTTTTTTAATTAATTAATATGTAGTGCGAGGGTAAATAAAATAAGTAATAAAAAAAAGAAAAAAAAATTTTTTTTTTTAATGAAAATGAATCGATTGCCTTTTTTTTAATTTTTTTTTTATATATATATAACAATAATAATAATAATATATATACATATACATACATAAATATAATTTTAGGTATTCGTAAATTTTCAATATATATATATATATATTTTTATTGGAATTAAAAATTTTATTTCATTTATTTGTGTGTGTGTGTGGGCGTGTTTGTGACGTATATAAAATATCAAAGGAATATTATTATTATTATTATTATATTATCGTTTTGTATATAATATATATTCACAGGAGAACCGAAAACGAAGAAAGAAATAAAAAAAGTGACATAACAAAAGTTAATTAATATAATCCAAACAAACATGAAACCATCATTAATGACTTGACACTGGAAATTTAAATCCATGAGAAGTTTTATATTGGCGCCAGGCGTCACCCGTCACCCCCTCCCTCCGTACCTCCCCCTCCCCGTATTTTTAAGTGAGTGATGGCATCGCATTTAATGGGTCACAAAAACCGTGACCACCCCTGAGTCACATTTTAACAATTTTTCTTTTTCTTTTTTTTTTTTTATGCGATGTCAAGTGGAACATAAACGATTTCTTATATATAAATATTTTACTATTATTATTATTATTATTATTATATTCGTTTGCGTAAAAACAAAAAAAATTTAATTTTATATTTCTTTCTTCGTAATCGATAAACGTTTTTTTTTGTGGGCGGGGGGCGGGGAGGGGCTTTATTAGTTTGTTGTTTGTCTCACGTCAAAGTAAAACATTTTCAAATGAAGACAAATTGTTTTGTTTGTTATACAAAAAAATTAACTCTTTATTTTCTTATTGTTTTTTATCCTTTTATTGTAAATAAGACATATCTGTATTTTTTATACTATTATTATTATTATTATTATTATTATTATTATTATTATTATTTTATACATTTTTTTAAAAATTATTTAAATATTTAAACCAAAATAAAATTTAAAAAAAAAACAATAAAAATTAAATAAATAAATTCTATCAAAATTATAATTA